AAAAATTTTTTTCCTAAGTTGAGACCTTAGGCATCACACAGTACAAGGAGAATAAATTCCATAGAATTAATCTTCACAAACAAAGGAATAAATAGTGAAAACCACCCTTCTTGGTGGGATTAGAATTCAGTTACTGGAATCAAATATCTAGTCTTCAACGAACATGCAGCACACACACACAGACACACACACACACACACCAGAAAAGTGTGACCCATACACAGAAAAAAGCAATGTTATGATTTGGAAATATTCTCCAAAGGTCCATGCTGGGAGCCATTAGCCAAGTAGGTATGACAATTTCCTTGCCAGCGTACCCCATGTTGCTTAGTGGAAGGACTCGTGGAAATAGGACATTTTGCAGTGACATTGCATGTAGGTGACCTTGCTCAAGGACCAAGGCGGATCCGAGTTTAGGGCGTTCCCGGTTTAGGACTATCCGGGTTTAGGGTGGTTCCAGGTTTAAGATTATTCCTGCTGGGAATAGGGCGTATGCTGCTGCCTGAGTTCCCCTTGAGTTCTCACGGGATTCAGACAGTATTTTTGGGGAGACAGAAGCCCAGTGGGGGTGGATTTGGGCAGAGAACGTGAATTTGGGCAGAGAACGTGGATTTCCCCAGAACGTGATTGTAGACGGCTGGTGTGAGTTCGGGAATAAAGAGTTGCTGTTTGAATCTACAAGCTGTGTAGTGGCTCGTGATTTTGTGCCCAGCCAGACTGCGGCAGGTCCATGTGTTAAAGGCTTGATTGACAGCCTCTGGCACCAATGGGAGGTGGTGAAACCTTGAAGAGATGGGGCCTAGTAGAAGGAAGTAGAAGTTAGGTCATTGGAGGCATGCCTTTGAAGTGAATTTTGGAATCATGGACCTTTCCCTGTCTTTGCTTCCCATCTTCCATAAGGTGAACAGACTTCCTCTGTCATGTGCTCCTGCCTTCATGTGCTGTGCTGCTACAGATCCACAGCAATGAGGTCAAGTGATCATGGACTAACACCACTGAGACCGTGAGCCAGATTAAATCTTTTCTCTTTATAAGTTGATTATCTCAGGTATTTTGTTACAGTAATGGAAAGCTGACTAACACAGAAATCGTAGAGCTTTTGTGTAAATTTCCGAGGGCCCTCAGATGTTAGTAGACAAAGTCTTCAAAGAAGTTGTTATAAATAGGTTGGTCTATCAAATCTGTAGAACCAATAGCAGTAGAAACATGTTCTTCTAAATCTTATGTGGAACTTTCTAGAACATAGACCATATATACTAGGCAATAAAACAAATCTCAATTATTTTTTAAATGAAACTTTTAAACATTTTTAATTTATTCTTTTTAGATATACATGATAGTAGGGTGTGTTTTGACATATTATACATATGTGGAGTATGAATTATTTTAATTAGGATCCCATTTTTGTGGTTGTACATGAGGTGGAGTTTCACTGGTTGTATATTCATATATGAACATAGGAAAGTTATGTCTGATTCATTCTACTGTCTTTCTTATTCCTATTTCTCTTCCTTCCCTTCATTCTTCTTTGTCTAATCCCCTGAACTTTTATTTTTCCTTTCGCCCCTTATTGTGTTAGCATCTGCATATCAGAGAGAATATTTAGCCTTTGGTTTTCTGGGATTGACTTATTTCACTTAGCATGATAGTCTCTAGTTCCATCCATTTATTGGCAAAAGTCATAAAGTCATTCATTTTTATGGCTGAGTAATATTCCATTTTGTATATCTACTACATTTTCTTCATTCATTCATCTGTCGAAGGGCACCCAGGTTTGTTCTATAGCTTGGATATAGTGAATTGAGCTGCTATAAACATTGTTGTGGCTGTCATTGTAGTATGCTGATTAAATTAGACTTTTTATTTTGAGATAACTAGATTCACATGAAATTCAAGAAATAATACAGAGATTCTCCATACCCTTACCCAGTTTTTACCAATGGTAATACCTTGCAAAACTACACTATAATATCACAGCCAGGATGTTGTCATTGACATAGTCAAGATACAGAATATTCTATCACAGTAAGGATCCTTGTGTTGTGTGTTGCCCTATGAACCCACACTCACTCACCCTCATCCCAACCAACTCCTAACCTCAGGCAACCCTAGTCTGTTCTCCATTTCTATGATTTTATCATTTCAAGAATGTTATATAGATGGACTTCATATAGGGTGTGACCTTTTAGAATGAGCTTTTTTTTTTTCAATTTAGCAATTCAACATAATCTTATGGAGATTCTTAAATGTTGTATCAATAGTTCCTTCCTTTTATGGATAAATAATATTTCACAGGAAGAATATACTTTGATTTGTTTAATTATGTACCAGTTGAAGGACCATTATGAATAAAACTGCTACAAATACTCATGTATAGGTTTTTGTTTGAACACCAATTTCATTTCTCTGGGATGAATAAACAGAGTGCAATTGCTAGTGGGAATGTGTGGAAAAGCCAGGCTGAAAGGTCCTGGCTGGGCCTGAGATTTAAATTGGCATAAGATATATTATCAGGAGAAAAGCATTAAAGTTTAATATATGTTTTATATGACATGGGAGCCCTTGTAAGGAAATGAAGGCTCAAAGAATCTGATTCTTCCTTCTGCCAGCTCAAATCTGCTGGTGAAGCCTTCTAGCAAATTTTCATTTTGTTTAAGTGTATGTTTCAACTCCAGAATTTATGTTTAATTCTTTTACACAATGTCTTTCCCTTGGAGATATTTATTTCATGAGATATTGTTTTCATCCTTTTTTAGTTTTTAACACATGGCTTCTTTTATTTCTTTGAACATATTCAGAACAGCTGATTTAAATTCTTTGTCTGGTAAACTCAATGCCTAGCCTTCCTCAGGGACAGTTCTCACTGAATTCTTTTTTTCTTAGATGTGGGCCATATTTTCTTGGTTTATTGTATGTCTCGTAATGTTTTTGTCTTTGTTCTGTTTTGAAAACCAGGCCTTTTAGATAATATAATGTGGCAACTCTAGAAACCAAGTTTCTCTCTGTCCCCAGTACTGGTTGCTATGGCTTTTGGTTGGTGACTTTCTTGCATTATTTCTGTGAAATTGTTTCTAGCCCTTGAAGTCTGTGCTCAGCTCAGCAGCGGCAGCTCACAGGGCAGAGATGGTCTCAAAGGCCCTGAGTGACACATTACCTGGGCTGTGGCTTCAGTTCTCAGGTAGGAAGTTGGAAGCTCCTGCTCATCCTTCACTTCCTGCCAAGCATGATTCTGGATGTTTCTGGATGAGATTATCATTTGAACCAGTAGTTTGGGTAAAACAGATTGCCTTCTTCATGTGGGTTGTCTTTATCCAATTCACTGACTAGGACAAAAAGGCCACCTTCCTCTGAACAAGAGACTGACCTTCACACTGGGCCTCACTGCCTTTGGACTTGAACCAAACCATCATCCCCTCCTGGGTCTCAGGCCTGTCAGCCTTCAGACTGGAACTTCGCCATCAGCTTTCCTGGGGGCTCCAGCTTGCTGACTGCAGATCCTGGGACCCATCAGTCCATAGTCCTGTGAGCTAGTTTCTTAGAATAAATCTTCTCTCTCTCTCTGTGTCTCGTTGGTTCTGTTCCTCTAGTGAACCTTAATACAACCACCACCAGTACCCCAGCCTCCCCTCTGGTCGCTTGCTCCTGTTTAAGAAACAGTCTTATAATCCACTCTGAAGAGGAGCCCAGGGGTCTTTATTTCTTCCCTCCCTCCCTACCTCCTTCCTTTCTTTTTTGGTACAGGAATTAAACCCAGGATACTTAACCCCTGAGCCCCAGCCCCAGCCCTTTTTTATATTTTATTTAGAGACAGGATCTCGCTGAGTTGCTTACAGCCTTGCCAAGTTGCTGAGATTGGCTTTAAACTCGAGATCCTCCTGCCTCAGCCTCCCAAGCTCCTGGGATTACAGGCATGTGCCACCCCCTGGCACCCAGGGGTCTTTCTGAGGGATAGCCTCTAAGGCCTGAAGAAGCCAAAAAGATGACTCAAATGAGAAGCTATTAGAGGGGTCAAGGTAGTACTGTGTTCTGAGTCCCTCTTGTGGGTTGCCATTGAGCATTTGAGGGTCAGGGCTGCTGACTCATGTCAAGAAGAGGGCGATGAGCTGCAGGACACTTGGGCACGCTGGCTTAATTCATGTCCTCCTCAGTATCTGTGTCAGTGTTCTTGGTTGCAAGGAAGAAAAACTGCCTCTTGTTGACTTCAGCAAAAGTGGACGGGGTGACATTAGGCATGAGATGAAGCCAGGCACCACGGCTGTAATCCCCAGGGATTTGAGAGGCTGAGATAAAGGACTGCAAGTGAGGCCAGCCTCAGCAATCTAGTGGGGCCCTAAACAACTCAGTAAGAACCTGCATTAAATAAAAAATTTTTAAAAAGTGCTGGGGATGAGGCTCAGTGATAAAGCACTCCTGGTTTAAATCCCCAGTACCGAAACAAAACAAAACCAACTGTGAAATGGAGGAGAGCATGCTGAGACAGATCAGACCCAGGGTGCAAAATGGCTTTCCACAAATATCCAGGGGGTCGAGGAACAGGCAGCAGGAAGCAGTCTGGTTGATTGTAAATTTCCAAAAATAGCCACAGCAATATTTCCAGTCCCACAAGCGCCTCTAGAATCTTCCCCACCTTATGCTTTCCCTTCCTTTGAAACTGGGAAGAACTCTCTAACTGCCTTGAGGAATGGAGTGTGGCACAAATGACACAGGGTGGCCCCCAGCGCTAGGCCAGGGAGGCTGATGGCTTCTTTGGCACCCGCTCTCTTGAAGTGCTCACCTTGGCAACCAGCTGCCATGTTGGGAGGCCGCCCAGGCCCGTGGGAGGGATGATGGGCAGGTGTTCCAGCTGCCAGCCCCAGAGTGGGGATCGGCCAACAGCCAGCGATAACCGCCAGCAACCTGAGTCATTGAGACGGAGGAGGAGTCCAGAGTCTGCGAGCTGTCCCTGAGGTCTCAGAGAGGAGCTGTCCCCGCCCCGCCCTCCCAAACTGCAGATTCCTGGTCAAAACAGTTGTCCTTATTTTAAGCTGTAGTTGTTGGGTGATTGGTTGCATAGTCGTTGGAACACAGCAACTGTGTAGAGCAGAAGCCCCCCAGCCAGGACACTGTGACCGTGACACCACACCACTCCAGTGTCCTCTGACCTTCCCTCCATCCTGATCTTCTAAGAGCCAAGTCCCAGGAGGCAGCACGTGATTGGGTCAAGGTGCTTAGCTCAGGCTCTTTGGGGACAGGTTGAAGAAGACTTGATGTGTTTCAGCCTGAAGAACAGGAAGGGGCTGTGGGAGACAGGAGCCAAGAGCTGCCCGCCCTACCAGGGAAAGTGACCTCCTACAGAGCCCCTGGGACAGCCATGCTGTGGTTTGGGCAAGTGGGGGGACATTATGGGAAGTAGTGGAAGCTTTAAGAGGTGGGGCCTCGTTGAAAGTCTTGTGGTCACATAGGATATGCCGCTGAAGGGGATATTGGGACCCTGGCCCTTCCTTTTCCTCGATCACTTCCTGGCTGCCATGAGGCAAGCAACTTTGTTCTAACACATGTTCCCTTCCATGATGTGCTGCCTCACCATAGGCCCAAGAACAACAGGCCAATTGATCATGGACTGAAACCTGTAAAACTGTGAGGCAAAAATCAACCTTTCTCCTTTATAAGTTGATTATCTCAGGCATTTTGTTATAGAAACAGGAAACTAACATAACTCCCAAACTTACATGTCTGTTTTGTCTGCCTGTAACATTTTCTCAGACTTTTGCATAGCTGTCTCTTCACATACAATAAACACAGAGGCTATGAGTGCATTCTCTGATAGCTTAACTTCAAATACTACACCGGTTACTTAAGTGCTGTGCAGTTGTGTGCAAGTGATTTAACCTCTCTGTGCCCCAGTTTCCTTATTTGAAAAGAGAAAAGAATAATAGGAACTATTTCATCCAGTTAGTTATATGAATATTAAGTAAATTAATCTGTGTAAAGCACCTGAAACAGTTCCTAGCATGCATACTACTTTAGATTTTAATCAGTTTTTATTGTTATTAAAATTTTAGCCTTCTCAGAGAGACCTTCTCAGATTCCTCTTTATAAAGTAGGGCTATCCTAACCCCATCACTTGAGGAGAAGGCTGTCACTTTATTTTCTTTCTGGCACTTATCACTGTATTTAATGAGCTTATTTATTTTAAAATTATTTACTTGTTTACTCTTATTTCTCTTTGCTTCTCGTGACTTTTAAAAGGTCATGATTTAACACCTGCCCCCAGCAGCTAGAGGGTAAACCCTTGTGAGCATGAGCCTGGGGAACACATGTCACCATCCTGTCCTTGGGATTGAACAGAAGCAGGTTGAGGACACAGCCCAGATCCCCTTCCTGGAGGACTCTGTAGCCCCCACTGGTAGGAGAGCTGCCCGTCAGCTGTCACGGATTCAGGGACAGTCCCAGCTGCAGAGAGAGGTCTCACCCTAAGTCCTGGGCAATCAGTGACCGATGGCCCACCATCTCAGCCCAACCAGAAAACTGTGACAGGCCACAGCGGCTCCAGAGCTGCCTGCGGGGTCCCTGGGGCTGTCGAGGGGCAGTGTCACGGTCCGACTCCTCCCTCTGCCCCCTCCTGCTTTCCCTAACTCTCTTTCCTGGGTGTTGATCCCTGGGATCCCCCTGAATCAGCATCCTGCACCCCAAACTGCACCTCAGGACCAGCTTCCTGGGACTCTCTCCCTACGCTGCTGAGCTTGAGGAAGACCCGCTGCTGTTGGCAGTCACTGGAGGAACAGAGCATCTGGAGATCCCCAGGAACACCCTCCTGGCCGACTTGCTGAGCCTTCTGTGGAACACAGCGTCCCTTTTCCTGGGAGTGATACATGTTGACTTCAATCTCAAAGAAGTGGCTGCCTGCCCTGCACCTCCCGCTGATCCTCCCATATGGAGCCAGCATCAAAAACCCAGGTTTGGAAAGAGGATCTTGGAACAGAGGCAGCCCAAGAGCTTCTCCAAGCTCATGTTCCATAGGATCATCAGAGAAGAGCCTCCTTATGGGGCCCCAAGGACCACCCGCCACACTGTGTGCTTGCCCTACCTGCTTTGTGCAAAGCCCCCTACATCGATTATGCTCCACTGAATTGTATCCAGGAGGCCTCTCACCGCAGATGAGTCTGTGTTGCTGTTGTTCAGATGACTTAAATTATATCATTGATTTTAATTTCTTGGACTATCTAGAAAATTTCGGAACAGAATTTCATATCTAAGTTCATTGATCTCCAGGGCCTGATGGTATCTATCTGGTCCTTGGTGTCCTGTTTTGACTCCAAGCACACGATGTGCATGGTGCAGGCTGCTGGGATGTTTTGCAGAAGCGGCGCTGTTTGGGCGCCAAAGAAAGAAATGTCAGGCCTAGCTGGAAAGGTCAGTGAGCTCCTTGATCCTAACCGGATCAGATCTGGGGCTACAGAGTTCAGAGGAATACAATCCATTGGATGGACCCTTCTTTATCTTTTTCAGCTGCTTTCTGGACTCTGCCCCTTGAATCCAGAGCCTTCATCTCCCCTGAGGGAAAAATCTCTCGATGTTTAAAATCTAATGCTTTTCAGGAACATGATTTTGGCATAAGGCAGGGCAAGTAGCAATATGCAGGACGACTCTGCCTCCAGGTGCCCTGGGCCCAGCCAGGCCCCTCCTCTCCGCAGTGGGAGTGTTGAGGGATGCTTTAGCTTCCGGCTCTAACATCTGGGCTCTCTGTCAGGCCTGGGGGAGGACGGCTGGGTCTGGATGTGGCTAGGGCATTTGAAGGGTTGAGAGAGACACAGGGACAGGTGAGCTGGAAGGGCAAAGAGGCCACAGCAGAGTGGGCCAGGGTGACTGGGACTCTCGGAGGTGTTAGTCTCCCAGCCAGGAGCTTGATGAGAAGGGGGAGAGGATCCCTAGGTTCTTACTTCACCTATTTGTCCAAAAGGTTCAGGATGAATGAGTCCAAACCTCATCTTACAGATGAGGACCTCCACCCAGAGAGGGAAGGGCTTTGCCTAAACTCACAGAGTAGGGCAGAGACTGAAGCAGGACTGACCCAGGCCTCTCGGCTCCCATAGAAAGGTGGCGAGGAGCAAAACAGGGGCCGAATGCTCCCCCTCAGTCCCTGAGGGTCTGTCATTTGGCTGTGGCCACGTCAACAATCACAAAGCCCTTGATGTCCGGGAAGTGGTGACTGACGAAGTCCACCTGAAGCTGCCTGGGGCCACTCTTGGATGGGGTGATGTTGAACTGGACCAAGGCCTTCTCCTGGGGCTGCAGGCTGGGCACCCTGGAGGACAGGGAAGGAGGGGAGGCAGGCCATCAGTCCTCTCTCCGTCCTGAGTCTGGCCTGCCAGCCCACGGCTCCCCAGGGCCTTCAAGATCAATTTCACCTGGTGGCTTAACGTCCAAGCCTCATTAACATGTTTCCAGATCAATCTTCCCTGCCGGCTTCAGCCAGTTAATCTCCTCCTGGTGCCCTGAACAGACCTCACCCTCCCCAGGCTTTCTCTCTAGCGTTCCTCCTGCCTACCATGCCCTCCCATGCCCACCACACCCACGGCCCACACCAGGCTTCCCTTCTCCGGGAGGCCTTCCCCAACTGTCCCAGCCACAGACACCTCTGCCTGGAAGCCCTCCTAACCTCCTGGCACCAGAAAAGCTCCTCATTTCATCACCTAAGGCCCAGCTCAAATATTCACTGGTACTTCTCCCTGGGCCCACGACACCCTGACTCAGGGCTGCCTCTGATCTCCTGGACCCCGGGGATCTACCCCTCTGTTTGCAGAAATCACTCTTCTCACGGGAAAGGCCATCTGTCCCTGAGGGTCCTTCTGCAGGCAGAACCCCAGGGGTTCATCTTGGTGTTCCTGACCCTTTGCACAGGGCTTAGAGCTGGTCCATATGATCAGGAACTGTGTGAGTACAGGGTGAATGACCAGCGCTGGACAATGAATCAACAAATGAGCAGAACTCAAGGGAGTGGACAGAGGAACGCAGAAATGAATGAATGAGAGGGTGAGCGAGCCAATCACCACTGAGTGCAGTAGCGGAACGAATAGTGGAAGGAGTGAGTGAAAATGTGAATAAAAGTGACGACAGGAATGAGCGACCCAGTGAATGACAGGTCAGCGGGTGGGAGAGAGAATATGAATGAGTGAGACGGGTGAGTGTGTGGCTGAGGAAATTAATGATTAAGTGGATAAAAGCTGATGTGTCTTGTTCTTGGGGGTTCAGAATCTCTCCTGTTCCCCTCCCAGTTGTTTCTCCCCAGTCCATCCTAGGAGGAAGGCAGCCCTTCTCCCTAGCAGCGCTGGATCTGAATTTTGAACCTGTGGAAAGATGCTTCAAGGACTTGAACTTTGGCATACTGTCTGTTCACCTAGGGCTTTGTGCACAGTAGATGCTCATGAATGCCAGTATGAAAGTGCTCCCTTGCTTTCTGGGCTCCCTTAGTCCACGGTGGCACTTACTCTATGCTGAGCTGTCCTTGGAGAAGGCCACTGCCCTCCACCATCAGCACACCATCCTCCACTTTCTCCAAGAGGGGGTTGACCACCGTCACTTCCACTGTAACGGCCACCCCCACGGTGGCTGGGCCCAGCACCTGGAAGGGCAACACCCATGAGCCATCCCTTCTCCTCACCATCCCTCCAGGAACCCTGTGGTCCTGGCTAGGTCAGAAGTTGGGGCCCTGGTCATGACCATCCTGCCTGCACCCACTCCCCCTGGCACCCACCAGACCCATCCCCTGCATCCCCACCTCTCCCCCTCACCCTTGGGAGCTGAAGTTGGTGTTAATGGCACGAGCTCCCTAGTTTTTGATGTCCTCCCCCCAGATTTGAAGTGGGCCTACTGGGAAGGTAGATGTGACAGAAGCCACCTTGATGGTGATGAAGTCCTCCAAGGTAATGTCCTTCTCCACCAGGAGCTTCTCTCCTTTGGAGACAAAGCACATGGCAGCCAATAGTATCTTCTTATCTTCCGTCAGGTCTTCTTTATACTGAGAGTAAGATATTGCTACTGGAATCTTCTTCTCTGGAAGAGAAAGCAGAGGTGGGAGGTGGGGGCTTGATGTTTTTCTTCAATGGTACCCCCAAGGGGAAGGAATGCCCATCAATAGCTATACCCTTTCTGGTCCTGGCAACCATCCTGAGAAAGGCATTATTCTCTTGAGTTCATAGATGAAGAAACCTGAGGCTCAGAGAGGGTAATTTTTTTCCCCCAAAGCCTCATAGCAAGTTTATCAAGGAGCCAAGATGAGAAAAAATTCAAATTCAGGCCAGTAAGCTACTGTAACACCGGATTATCTCTCTAAGAGCATCCAGAGACATATCTGAAATTTTCTCTAGTTATTCAAGATGGCAATCTCTCAGTTCATCAACCATTCCATTAGGAATTCAGTCACTGTTTATTGACCACCTACTATGTGCCAGGCACAGAGAAGAAGGAAACCAAAGACTGCCTCAAATTTCCAATCCAATGAGACCCACTTCCTCACAACTTCTCTAAAACTTCTTTCTCCAGAAAGGGCTAGTCCCAGTCAGTCCTAGTAGCTGTGGGAAGGCTTCACTGACACTCCTTCTCAGTCGTCTTAAGTTTTCTGAGCTCCCATGGTCCTGGGTGTCTCTGTCTCCTTCTCACCAGGCATAAACACCCTCCCTAGGTATTCTCTTCTTAAGCGTATGAATTGCCACAAACCATGTGTGACCATTATATTTGTGTTTGGACCAATATGTATTTTTTTTCTTTTAGGTGTAATGTGCCCTTTTGGTTTGCTCCAGGCCCCACTCTATTGCTCTGCCACTGCTTTCTTTATCTCTCTTTTCTTCCTGACCCTGATGGCATCTGAGTTTTGAACTTGTGGAAAGATGCTTAAAGGACTTGAACTTGGTGCATACTTTCAGCCACCTAGGACTTGCCTCAGTAGATGCTCCTGAATGCCAGTGTGAAAGTGCTACCTCGTCTTTTGGGCTCCCTTAGTCCAATAAGTTTTTACCGGAAAAGCCTTTACAACAATATTAGCAATAATTCATTATTTTAAAAGTTAACTTTCACTAATGGATTAAAGCATGCTGGGTACTTTGAAGCACTTTCATGGATTAACTGATTTAATCTTCACAACAATTCCATGAGCAAATATGATTACTATCATCCCCAACTGATTGAAATATAAAAATAAGGACAAATACCACCAACCATTATATATTTGTTAGGTGTTAGGAATTATGTTATATAATTATAATTATATATAACATCATTTGTTCCTTGCATGGTGATAGACCATGGCTCCTCACGTGGTCCTGGGACCAGACACATCAGCATCATCTGAGATGTTAGAAATGCAAATCCCCAGTTCCAGCATAAAGAGCCACCATATGCCACCATGATAGGATGGACAGAGCTTTGAACACCAGTTCAGACTCTGGGAGAAAGGAAGAGAAGGGTGAACTATCACAGTGTCCAGACCAGAGCTTCCTGAAGTTGTTTAAGTCACGGACTCCATGAACCACCCTAGGAAAGCTGAGACTCTTTCCCTAGAAGAGTGATTCTCAACAGCACCATCCATCAACCCGATACAACTGACAGCCTTCGAATACATCACCCAACAACAGCAGAACACACATTCTTCTCAAGATCACATGGAACATTCACCAAGATATATCCCATTTTGTGCCATAAATAACACATTAAAGACTTTTAAAAGAATAGAAATCAGCCCCGTGTGTTGCCAGAAGCCACTCTGTCAAGGGTGGAAGTTAGCTCTGAATACAAACACCTGTTAGCTCTGAATACAAACACCTGTGCTCTGACCAGCAGGTGAAAGTCCCGGAGGGCCAGAGGAGTCCAGCATCATATGCTCTTATGTTTTTTTAAAAAAAATGTTTAATTTTAATTTATTTGTGGTACCAGGGATTGAACCCAGGGGTGCTTAACCACTGAGTCACAGGTACGGCCCCTTTGAGTTGCTTAGGGCCTTGCTAAGTTGCTGAGGCTGGCTTTGAATTTGTGATCCTCCTGCCTCAGTCTCCTGAGCTACTGGGATTACGGCGTGTGCCATTGCATCTGGCTTCAACATGCTTTTAAATGAAGAGGATAAAGCTGACCACATTAGAGAGAGCAAGAGATGCCTATAAATTGCAAATGGAAATTAGACCTCACAGATACAAAGTCTTTATCACCTTCTCCAAATACAATAAGGGAAGATGATTTTGTAGTTTATGCGTTATCTTGTCTACCCCAATGAAGAGCTATGGGGGAGTACGTGAGGAAGAATCAGGGACCTAGTTACTACCAATTGCACTGGCGATTCAGAGTCTAGAGCCATGCTCACAGCATAGGAATCCTGAGCCCACTTCTGAACAGTTTGCAGATTTAAAAAAATTTACATTTCTCCATGTCTGCCATTCCCCATCAGTAAATAATTTAATTCAACGGCAAACATGGCATTGAGCTTCCTCTAGGAAGCTCTAGGAAATTGGGTTGTGGAAACACTGAGTCCTCCCCCTTCTTGTGGGTCCTTTCCCTGCCCTGGGTGACCTGCAGCATCCCATGATTCCACATGGCCACATGTCTCTGCTTCTGAATGCACTTTTGTCTGCAGGCCTTAGCACTCTCCCATCAGGAGGTAAATGTACACTCCTTCCTCTTGAATCTGGACTGACCGAGGAGCCTGTTTGAACCAACAGATGATCATGGAAGTGGTACTGTACACCTTCCAAAATTGGGACTTAAGAGATGGGCAGCTTCTCCCTTCTCCTTTTGAAATACTCCTTCCTGGAACCATTGTACCCTCTCATGTCTTTGTACTTTTGCAATGTAGGTCTCCTCCCCACTCCAAGAACTTGTCCCCAGGTCCCTTTCTACTTCTAGTAGCCTTCCTTGATGACTTCCCTTCCTGTCCCCACTCTCTGCAGGGTGGTTTTCCATCCCCCAAGATCCCCACACCACATAGCAGCTCTAAGCACATCATCCTGATATTGTCTGTTGTCTTCCCATTTCTCCATAATCTCCAAATCACAAATTCTTCATTTTATCTGTTTTTATTGTCTTGATATGCAATGAGAATTCAATGAATGCTTACTTAATAAACTAATAAAATATGGATAAGAACCCCTGCAAAAAAAAAAAAAGAAAAACACAATAGAAATCATATCATGTATGCTCTCAGACCACAGTGGACTCAAACTAGAAATCAATAACAGAAAGATAGCTGGAGAATACAAAATACTTTGAGATTAAACAACACAAAGAAGAAAGCTCAAGATAAAGTTTAAAATATTTTGAACTAAATGAAAATAAAAGTAAAACACTTCAAAGTTTGTGGGATGCAGTGAAAGCAAAACTAAGAAGGAAATTTTTATCATTCAAAGCAGATAGTAGAAAAGAAGGAAGGCTTAAAATCAATAACCTCAGCTTTCACTAGGAAACTACAAAAACTAAATCCAACATAAGCAGAAGAAAAGGAATAATAAAAATCAGAGCTGAAATCAATGAAATTGAATGCAGGAAATCAATGGAGAAAACCAACAAAACCTACAGCTGATTGACAAGATCAATAAAAGCAATGAGTTTCTAGTCAGGCTAAGGGGAGGGGGAGACACAAGTTACTAATATCAGAAGGGACACTACTATAGATCCCATGGACATTAAAAATTGTTGAGGAATTTGTGGAAACTATATGCCCTCAAATTTGATAATCAAAAATGGTTAATTTGATAACCAAAACCCTTGAAAATTTCAATAACCTATCAAAACTCACAGAAAGAGAAGCAGACAATTAGAATGCATCTGTATCTATTAAAGAAATTGAATCAAGCTGGGTATGGTGGCACATACCTGTAATTCCAGCAATTTGGCAGGCTGATGAAGGAGGAATGCAATCCAAGGCCAGCCTCAGCAACTTTATGAGACCCTGAGTAACTTAGTGAGACCCTGTCTCAAAATAAAAAATAGGGCTGGGGATGTGGTTCAGAGATAAAGCACCTCTGGGTTCAATCCCCCTTACCATAAAAAAATAAATTGAATCAGTATTTAATATCTTTCCAAACAGAAAGTACCAAGCCTTGATTTCTTTGCTAAGTAATCAAGGAAGAAATTACCAATTCAATCTCTTTCAGAAGATGGAAGCAGAGGAATACTTCCTAATGCATTCTGCGAGACCAGCATAACCCTAATATCAAAATCTAGCTAAGACATTACAAAAAAAGAAAACCAAAGACCAATAGCTTTTATGAACACAGATGTAAAGTCCCTCAACAAAATATTAACCAATAAAATCCAATAATGTACAAAAAGAATTACACATCACAATCAAGTGGGGTTTATTCCAGGCATACAAAGCTAGTTAAATATTTGAAAGTCAATTAATGTAATCTACCAAATCCACAGAAGAAAATCATACGATTGTAACAACAGATGCATAAAAAGAATTTGAGAAAATGCAACACCTGTCCATGATAAAAAAAATTCTCAGCAAACAAAGAACAGAGGTGAACTTCCTCAACTTGTTAAAGAACATCTATGAAAAAATCTATAGCACACAGCAAACTCAATGGTAAGAAACTAGAAGCTTTCCCTTCAGGATCAGAAACAAGACAAAGATTCTCTCTTGCCATTCCTTTTCAACATCATAGTAGACATCCTAGCTACTGCAATAAGATAAGAAAAGGAAATAAAAGGTATACAGATTGGGGGAAAAAAGCAGTGTTTGCTTATAGATGACATGATCAATTATGTAGAAAATCTTAACAAATAAAAACTTCCAATTATAGTAAGATTATAAAATATAAGATTAATACACAAAAGTCAACCACTTTCCTATGTACCATAAATGAACAACTGGAATTTGAAATTAAAGACACAATACCATTTATGTTAGCACCCCTCAAAATTAAATACTTAGGCATGAATCTAAAAAATATGTTCACTATCTATGTAATGAAAACTAAAAACTCTGGGAAACAAATCAAAAAACTAAATAGTTGGAGAAATATTTTAAGCTCATTATTCTCAAGATGTAAGTTCTTCCTAATTTTAATCTATAGATTCAATGCAATTTACATCAAAAGTATTATTTTGTAGGTCCTGAGAAGCTAACTGTTTTTGAGACTTGATTCTATGTTGCCCAAGCTGGTCTAGAATCAGTGGGTTCAAGTGATTCTCCCCACTCAGCCTTCTGAGTAGCTGGGATTATAGGCCTGTGCCACCTCACCTGGATCTTGCTAAACTCATTCTAAAGTTTATGTGGAGAGGCAAAAGACTCATAATACTTAATGCACTACTAAAGGGGAGTACTAAGAAGGAGGAACTGGCCCTGTCCCACTTGAAGAGTTACTATAAAGCTTCAGGAATCAAGGCAGTGTGGCTGGAGAAAGAACAGACAAATAGATCTATGGAACAAAGTAGAGTTCAGAAATAGACGTGCACCAATATAATCAACTGATCTTTGACAAAGGAGCAAAGGAATTATAAAGAAATAAAAGTCTTTTCAAATGGTACTAGAACAACTGGATATCCACCTGTGGGGGAGGGGGAGGAAAGGGAAAAAAGGATCTAGATTCAGACTTCACATTTTCCCCCAAATTTTCTCAAAATGAACATACATTTGAATGTAAAATGCAAAATTACAAACTCCTCAAGATAGTAAGAGAAAATCTCGATGACCTTGTGTTTGGTGGTGACTTTTTACATACAACAATACAATCAAGCCTAAAGGCTTGATTCATGAAAAGAAAACATTGGCAGGTTGGATTTTATTAAAATTAAAAACTCTGCCTTGCAAAATGCACCATCAGGAGGTTATGAAGACAATCCACAGACCTGAAGAAAATATTTGCAAAAGACATGCCTGATGAAAGACTGTTACTCAAAATACACAAAGATCTAAAACCCGAAAATAAGAAAACCCAAATAAGAAAACAAACAACCCCAATAAGAAAGGAGCAAAGATCTAGAAAAATATATGGATGACAAACAAATGTATGAAAAGATATGCAATTTCATATGTCATTAGGGGATTACAAATTGGAACAATGAGATACTATTTCACATATATTACAAAGCAATGCTCCCCAACACACCACAACACAGTCTAGGAAATTCTCATTCATGCTGGTGGCAATGCAAAATGACACAGCCACTATGGTGAACAGTTTGGCAGTTTCTTACATAACTGAACAAACACTTATCATATGATCCAGCAATTGAGTTCCTGGAATGTATGCAAACAAATGGAAAACTTATCCACACAAAAACCTGCACAGGAATATTTCTATGGTTTGGGTATGGTGTAAGTGTGTCCCTCCTAGGGTTCCTGTATTTGAAGCTTGGTCCCCAGGTGGCAGTATTGGGAGGAGGTGAGACCTTTAAGAGGTGAGTTCTAGTGAGAGGTCCTTACATCACTAGCAGTGTGTTCTTCAAAGGGATTATGGGACCCCAGTCTTTCTTGCTGCCTGTTTTGGGCTACACTCTCTCTTCCTGCATGGCTCTGCCATTTGTCATGGGGCCATTACCAGAGCTTGCACTATGCTATCTGGATTTTCAGCCTGTAGAACTATGAACTAGATAACTCTCTTTTCTTCCTTTATTTTTATTTTTTGTGCAGTGCTGGGATTGAACCTAGACTCTGTACATGCTAGGCAAGTGCTGTACCTCCGAGCTACACCTCTAGCCTTAAATCTTTTTTCTTTATAAAGTTGACTGACCTCAAGGATTTCATTGTGGTAATGCAAGACAGACTAATACAGATATTTACAGCAGATTTATTCATAAACACCCCAAATTGGAGGCAACCAAGATGTTTTTCAGTAGGTGCATGGATAAAACCTGTACATCCATATAATGGAATACTTATGATTCAGTATTCTCATTCAGGAAATAAGACATCAAGAGACCAAGACACAAAACCTAACAAAACACATATAAATACATATTGCTAGGGAAAATAATGCAATCTGAAAAGGCTATAAAGGGTATGATTCCTGCTATATGATATTCTGGATAAATAAAAAACGGCAACAATTAAAAGATCAATGGTTGCCTGGGATGCAGGGAGTAATGACAGAGGGATAAATAGGTGAAGCACAGTGAATTTTTAGGTTAGAAAAACTATTTTGTATGTTTCTCTAATACTGGATACAGGCTATTATACATTTGTCAGAACCCATATAACATATAACATTAAGAGGGAACCCTAGTGTAAACTATGTACTTTATCAGATGATCCAGCAATTGAGGTCCTGGAATTTATGCAAATAAATGGAAAATAACATGTCAACACTGGTTTGTCCGTCCATGGTAACAAGTAACACTATACCAATGCAAGATGTTAGGAGAAGAGTGATGGTGGTTCAGCGGGTAGGAGGGAACTCTCTGTACTTTGCTCAATTTTTCTGTAAACATAAAACTGCTAAAAGATAAAGTCTATTTATTTAAAAATGAGTTATATATTTTAATTAATTATATGACTTAAGAGTCATATCAGTTGGCTTAAGAATATCACTTTTATAAATCTGTTCTAACAAAAATAGTCAAAATCCAGAAGAAAAAAATGGATTTTTTTTTTTGCACCAAGATGTTTACTTAGTTCTATTTTTAATAGCAATAAGCTGGTAATTACCCCAAAGAAGAGGAAAGATAAATCATCATATATTTATTCAAATATTACACATCTATTAAAATGATGTTTATGAAGAGCTTATAAAAATATTTAAATTACTTTGTAATATGAAAATCAGGCCACTAATGAATATTTGCAATATTTAATTAGAACTATGTTTTTTTTCCAAAGGCAAACAGGCATTAACAATTTGGAAGGGAAAACCTGTTAACAGTTTGTAGGTGGGTGGCAAGATCAGAGGCGATTTTTCTCTTTTACTCTTGAAATCTTTAATGAATATGTATTACTTTCAACATGAAAAAACATTGCTAAAAGCCAGGGGAAAGTGTATGTTAATTAATATTTCATTATGAAGTGTTATTTTGTGATTTAGCTTTTGTGACAAAAAGAGCTAAAAAATGTGTGAAGCCCCCTTCATATGTTTTCATGCCCTGTCAAAATCCAAAGGTTCACTTATCAGAAGCTGGTCTAGAGAAACAGCTTCAATTAAACAAAGTCGAACTGATGCTTTAGAGTTCAGAGAGCTTGTGAAAGAAGAAAGAGGGAGAGGGCGAGAAAGGGAGAGAAAGAAAGGAGACAGAGAAGGAAAGAGAGGGAGAGAAACAGACAAAGAGCAAAGGACAGGGAGGGAGAGAGAGGAAGGGAGAAAGTGAGAATAATCAAAGAAAAATCAAATAGGATACATTTAGTAAATCCTATCAAGTATGATATGTCTATGAAAAACAGTTCATTGATATATATATATTAAATATTTATTACGTATATAAAATATGTATTAAATATTTTTAATTGTAGATGGACACAATACCTTTATTTAATTTATTTATTCATTTTTTTATGTGGTGCTGAGGATCCAACCCAGTGCCTCATATGTGCTAGGCAAGCACTCTACCACTGAGCCACAATCCCAGGCCCCTTTGATATATTTTTAAAAAGCAATAAAGTCAGATAAATTTATACAAAAAGCTTCCAAAGGACTGGCGCTATTCTATTTTGTGGTGAAACATCTAGGATGAATCTTAGGCCAATACACCATCAGGCATGGACTGAGCCGCCCACTGCATATCCCCTAGTCAAGGGACTGCAGGGGGTTGAGGCAGGTGTGCCAGGAGTCTAGCATCCCTGACCTGGAATCCTGGCTTTACCACTTTCCTGCACTTGATCAGGAGTGTCTCCAAGGTGGGGTTGCTTGGGTTTGGGTCCTTCCACTACATGCATGGACTGTGTGACTTTGGACCCTGGATGTGAGTTTCGTCCTTGGAGTGACCCAGCTACCATCTGTGCCTATGCATGTGGTTGTGGGTCTCTGTCTTTGCATCAGAACTCTCAGGATGGCCTGTCACACAGAAGCACCTAAGGAACATCTCTTTCTGGTCCTCTCCTCCCACACAGAATACATGGAGCCAGATGGGCTCCAGAATTTTTTTTGGATTTTAGAAAAGTAACAGAAGGCATATGCCATACATTTTGACCAGCTTCCAGACTGTGTTGATTCAGCCTGTAAACATTCACATTCATCCGGATGAGATAGAGACTATAAATCGCCTCACCACCAGGTCAGTTTGCCACCAGAGGACGGGGACTTTCATTACTATTATTATCATTTGCCCCTCTAAGCTTCAAGTTCTCCCATCTGCAAAGTGGGGCCAAGAGGAAAGGCATTGAGCACAAAGCTCAGGAATGTCCCCTTCCTTCTTGGGAATGGGCGTAGAACCAGGGGCGCCCATGCCACCCTCAATCCTTGCAAAAGGGGGTGACTTAGCGGGGTCCCAAAAAGCCAGGGTTCTCACCTTCCTGCGGACCCAGCTTCACCGCGTGGGACTCGTGCAGGATCTCGGCCACAGGCCTGCGGGTATAGAGGACGGTGGCGCCGCTCAAATTGACTTGGACTCGCTGGGCCCGAGAGGTGAGGTTGGTCAAGCACAGAGCTAGCTGCAGGTCGTGACCCAGCACTGGCGGCTCCAGCACCTTGAACTTGCCGGTGATGCTGGGCTTGGTGGCGGGCTCCAGGAGGTCTTCACGCCAGAGACCCCGCCCGCCGGCCCTGCGGATCCACGTCCTCCTCCCCCTGGCTTCCACGCCAAACAGCTTCTTCACGGCCTTGCTGTACACCTGCCTCTCCTTCCGGGACCCTGCAGGGCACCGCACAGATCAGCTGCGAGACCTTCTTCCTTCTTCCTCCTCCGCCTGCAGGGTCCCCCTTCTCCAGGTAGAACTGTCACTCATCACCACTTCAAATTCCCACGGCTCTCAGAGGTCTCAAACTGGCAGCCGGAGAGCCATGTGCAGACCTCAGCCTCTGCCTGTGTGGGGTTCTCTATTTAAATAAATTTATAATCTGCTGCCAATAACTTCAGAGCAGGAAAATTCACATAAAAATGCAGATTTCCAGCTTCTCTGACAACTGGGTGAAAATTCATTATTGTCATTATTACAGGATGTTGGTGTCTTCTGAAGCCATGGCTAAAAGCTTGGGGCAAAAGACCCCCGTTCTAAGCTCCAGAAAGTCCAGCAGGTGGGACCAGCCATCCACTTGCAGGACTTGAGGGAGAGGTGCCCGTGTAGAAGAGGCCTCACCACCCAGCCCCACCCGACAGTCAAGTGAGCACCATGTTCCTAGAGATGGGAACTCAGCAAATGTTGGTGGTGTGTGTGTGTGTGCGCACGTGCATGTGCAAGAATACGGTGGTGTCAAAAAGAATCCAAATTAAGGTTTGGGGTGTCTGCAACAGGAAGGGGCCTCTGGTAAAGACTGGCGGTGCCTACCTGAAAAGGATAAAGGAAGCTGGCATATGTTCTCTCTGGGAGGTCTGCTTACCTGCCTTACTTACCTGAGCGACGAGAAGAGACCTGGAGGGACAGGCTAGGTGGAGACAGCCAGCCAAGACCTCTCTCCCCAACCCCAGGGGAGGCTCCAGAGCAGACCTGTCCCCTCTTGCACAGCAACCTTCCAGGGTCACTGCTTTAGTTTGTACTCAGGGGAGAGGAGGAGACAAGCTCTCATTCCTATTTGAACCCAAACTCTTTTTACTTAATAACATTAATATATATATAGCTTTAGGTGGACACGATATCTTTATTTTACATTTATATGGTGCTGAGGGTCGAACCCAGTGCCTCATGCATGGTAGGCAAGTGCTCTACCACTGAACCACAATCCCAGCCCCAGTAACATTTTTTTTTAGACAAACAGATGTGGCTGGACACAGATGGATCAGATCACATTTGTGCTCAGGGACCCGTTCCTCCGTGGGAAGGGAAGACTGTCAGAGTATATAGTTGAAGGTGACTATGAGAAAAAAGTACAACCATCTTATTTTTGTACCCCAATAAGTACAGGCTTTTTCACAAACCAGCGGCTAATGAATGGCTCTGGCAGAGGCCTTGACAGATGACAATCAAGAGCTGCTGTCACTTATTTGGAATTATGTCTAGTGCCATGTTTCCTGGGAATTCAATATGAAACATGGGATACTATCATCATCGTTAGTAGTAGTGGTAATTACTGTTATCATATGCGAATATTCCTAACAGTGCCTGGCCTAGGTGGAGAGTCAAGGACATGTAGCTGTTATTAGATGCGGAACATCTTCTAACACGGAAGGGTACTTAGCAATCAGAGGAAGCTATTAATTTAACCTAAACAAAGGCACTGGCTCAGAACCCAGGACAATGTCGAATGGAAGCTGTGATTGTCACCAGACATCTGGGAAAGGATCTGGCCCTAGGCTACTGGGAACCAGCCCTCCACAGCCCAAGGGTCATCTGGGGAATTGAATAAAAGCCAGCATGTGGCCCTTACCTTCTGGATACTTGTAGAGGCCTGTGATGTCCACACGGGAGTCACTGCCCACCGCCTTGGTGCTGATGCACCTTCCAATCTTCTTGGTGTCCGAGTACACACGCTCCCGGCTCTCGTCCTCATTCCACAGCCAGGTGATGTAGTCAGCGTTGACCTCCGCAAACACGAAGGGGCCATCGTGGGCCAGGTGCACGTCACCCTCTCGGATGGCAGTGACTGAGGTGGGGCCACACTGGAACACACCTGGGCAGGAGGGGTGAGCGTGAGCAGCAAGGGGAGGAAAAGCAGAGATCTGGGACTGGCTCTCGGAGCCCTACCTTCGCTTTCTTCCTGGGGTGTGGCATCCAGAACCTGCCAGCCATTGTAAGAGGGGCCCAGGTCCTGCCGGGCAAACCAGCTCTCGTTCCAGACATGGAAATTCCTGCCATAGAGAGAGGGTGGGTGAGGTGGCCTTGCATGAGATCTGAAGTCCTGGGAGGGAAGCCCCTGCTGTAGACCAGCCCATGAGTGCTATGGCCCCCGCATGTCATTCACTCATTCAACTGAATCCACACAGCACTCACATGTGTGTGTGTGTGTGTGTGTGTGTGTGTGTATCAAGAGCCTGTTCTTCAAGATAAGAGAAATACAACTGCAAATACGACACAGCATCCTTGCTCTCATGAAAATTAAATTTTAACAAAGGGCACCCATGGGGATACAGGCAGCATTAAGTTAGGAGATAAATGAAACAAATGCAAGTGACAACGAAAGCTGTGAAGAAAAGAGGGGTTGAGTTAGAGAATAACTGCTGGAGATCTACTCTAGGTAAAAGACATCAGAGGCCAGACCTAAGTGCAAAGAAATTCACCAGAAGAAGAGCGAGGAGAACAGCGATCCAGGCAGAAGGAACAGCACGTGCAAAGGTCTGGAGATAAGACAAAGGTGAGTATGTTCGAGAAATAGAAAGCAGGTCAATATCTCCCGGGTAGGCAGGATTTAGATGATGGAGAGCTCTGTAGGCCCTGGTAAGAAGTCCCCAGTTTATCTTCAACTCTGTGTGTTTAGGGTGAGAATACAAGTCTAGAAAAAGTGATATCACTTGCACAAGGTCACACAGGAAGGAAGTAGCAGAGAGAAACCTGATTCCTGGTTTGCCTGACTTGGCATCTTCACAGTTGGCCTCAGAACACCTCTTTGGGAGGTCGTTGTCTTGGGAAAAATACCTTGACAAACATTTTGGGGTAAGCAGGGGGACTCTGACAGCCTGGGTGGTGACAGAGGATCCAACATCAGAAAGAAAATTTTGTATGAGGAAAGGAAGGGAGGGCATTTGGGGCTGGGCTGGTTAGACTCTGACCCTGACCCTGACCTTGAGACAGTAGCCCAGGACCCACCACATGCTGTCTTCTGTCAGGTCCTCCAGGGTCCGCCCGAAGGAGTCCACATATTTGTCCACACTCAGGTTTTTGTCAGTGTCGTGGGCCGAGTTGAAGTTGGACACCACTCGTGTCGCAATCCCCAAGCACCTGAGGACTGGAGAGCAGAGAGCTGGGAGGCTCCAGGAGTGGGCTCTGGCCCCCAGAAGGCTGCTCCACCCCATTTCCGGCCACCATCCCCACAGCCTTTGTCTACTGTGGCAGGTGACAGGGCTGAGACTTCCACTCCCTCAGACACCGTCTCCTGTACATTGTCTCAGGGACTTCTGGAGATGCCACTCTGAGCAGGCTCTGAGGCTGGCAAAATCTCAGATGCCACAGAAGAGTGACCATTCACTTTTCTGAGGGGACCCAAAGTCTAAGGGGCCACAGGGCTTGCCCAGGACACTCAATGAGCTAGAGGCAAAGGGAGGACTTTCTGCCAAATAAAAATCAAAAGTCAAGTAAATGAACTGGTCTCCTAGTCATTACCTCCTCACCAATGAAGACAGACTACAGCAATGCAAATATATGTAAATGAATGCAAACAGGGAGCAGGCTGAAGAGGGGGGCACCTCTTTCTGATACCTGTGCACATGACTCCAGCGAAGACCCAGCACTGGCCGTACTTGACTGGTTTGAACCTGCTCTTGAACCATTTCTGCAGGATGGCCACGCTGCCGCGCCAGTGCAGTGGGCTGGTGCCGCTGCCATATTTGCCCTGCCACTGTCCTTGCACGACACCCCGGTCATTGTTGCTGTTCACCTGAGCAGAGGAGACACAGTTCCATGCACCATGCAGGCTTCCCACAGCAGGAGCCCCACCATTATGAAATCATCTCCTACTTGGACCGGCTAGTCAACTGGGGTCACTCCTTGCTTTTCAATTGCCTGATAAGTGGGGGTCTCTGCTGTCTTAAAAGTACCTACATTTTTGGGCTGAGAGCATAGCTCAGGGGTAGAGCAGGTGCTGAGCAGCCATGAAGCCTAGAATTTGATTCCCAGAACCACAAAAACCAAACCAAATCAAACAAAAACTCTACTTTTTGGAACTACTTACAACTTTAAATTATTTTCCATTTGGATACTCTTGTTAAAAATCATCTATAATTCAGAGCATTTCCTATTTTAAATGATTTATATTTCAGGACTGCTAGTGGGTATAGTAATTAGAGAGATAGCTGACATTTATTGAATGCCAGGCTCTTTTCTAAGGATTTTGTTGTTGTTGTTGTTGTTAGCAGGGATTGAACTCAGGGGTGCTTAACAACTGAGCTACACCGAAGCCCTTTTTATTTTATTTATTTATTTATTTTTAATTTTCAGAAAGGGTTATGTTAAGTTGCTTAGGGCCTCACTGAATTTCTGAGGCTGGCTTTGAACTTGTAGTCCTCCTGCCTTAGCCTCCAGAGCTGCTGGGATTATAGGTATGCACCACGGAGCCTGGCTATTCTAAGGATTTTGTTTGTGCTAGTGAACCTTTTAAGTTTATGGTTCTATTTTCCTCCACAGGTTCTATTGTACCCCCCACCCCCCCTTTTTTATGAGAAAACTGAAGTTCAGAGGAGTTCAGGGACTTGACCAAATCATATAGCAAGTTAGTTAAAGGGGTGACCCATGAGTTCAGGACCTGGGTGTGGAGCCTGCACTACTGTCAGCTGGCTGTAATATTCTACTGTATGGGGTTGGCCATTGCTGCTGATTTTCAGAGCGCCAACATCTGTCTGAGGTCTTGAGGTCTTGAGAGCATCCACTATGAGAAGCACAGCTTTGTCCAATTTAGGGATCTCAGATTTCCATCCACTGACCTGAACACCTGCATGGATAGAAAGCACTAGTAGGTCCCTTCACTACCTGTTGTGGAGGGAGTATGTAGCCTGAGGTCAGTTAAAGTGGGCACTCCTCCCATGGAGAGGTGAGGTCTGTCTATGCCTGCTGCTCTTGCGTCTGAGCTGGCCTCAGACTGCATTGACCACTGTCCATTGTGGAAGTGATGCTGGAACAGTTTTCAGGCCCAGGCCTTGAAGCCTGGCAGGGTCTGCTTCCTGTTTTCTTGGAGCAGTTGCTGTGGGTGAAGCCAGCATTGTGTACGAGATCCCCCCACTGTGAGGAAGCCCAAGCTAGCCATGTGGAGAGGCTACATGGGAAGAAGCCGTGATGACTGGCCAGGCTTGGCAATTCCAGCCACCCCGGGCCCAGGACCCTGGTGTGAGAGTGAGGGAGCCATTTTGAACATTCTAGTTCCAGTAGATACTGTGTGGGCAGAAAATAAGGAACTGCTGAGGACCAGAACCAAGGTCCCAGATATATGGTCCCATCAAGTTATCTAAGACATTTGCAGCCACTCAGAAATCCCCAGTTGAAGCATCTTGAAGCAGAGACAAGCCATTCTCATGTTACCCTGCTCAAATTCCTGATCTGTAAATTTTTATACCATTGAGTGTGTGTGTGTGTGTGTGTGTGTGTGTGTGTATGTTGGGCGGGGTTTATGTAGCAATAGAGAATTAAAACAAGGGATGAGTTGGGAACCCCTAGGCTGTGGTCCTGGGTTGGCTTAGGGATTCTTGAAGGAGTCTATATATAGGGATAGCAGGGGACTCCTCACCATGGCACTGATGATCCTGGTGACATAGATGGGGTTGTGACGGTGGGACACATCAGTGGCTGGGTCATCTTGGTGACTGGGGCTTCGATCCAGGATGGACAGACAGATATCCAGGATGTCCTCCTCAAACTGCTCCCCAGAGAGGCTGTGTTTAGAGGCTGGAGCCTCACCCATATTCCAGACCTTTCCACAATCCCACCTGATCCCACAGTCACTTGTGTCTATGCAGGGGAGTTTTGTCCTAATCTCGTGCCCTGCCTCCCAGGGACATCACAGAATACCCTCAAGTATCAGAAATCCTTCCTCAGAGAGTTCCTTGGGGAACAAGAAGCTCAACCTTACTCATGCCCTCCCATTCAATACTTCCTATAACTCCCCACTAGGCACAGTGAAGTCACAAACATGATTTGCTTTTGAGCCAAATCTGCCTCCTATGCTCCTTTGGTTTACATGCTCTAAGCATTGGCTCCACTTGACCTCCTAGAAAGGAGTGGACAGCTGGGTTCCTGGGCTGGATTTTCCCATACCCCAGCCCACATCCCCGACTGGCTGCGCCCCTGGAGACCTGCCCGTAGTTCCAGCCCTGCGCTCGGATGTGCTTCTCCACGCCTCGGAATATGATGCCACTGTCGTTGAGCACGTACTCCTGTCTCTCTTCCTCTGAGGCCAGAAATACATCGTCCTCTGAAAAGCAGTCATCAGGCCCAGCGTGGGCTGGGGCTCTGGCCCTGCCGGCCTGGGGAAGGGGCTGCATCAGGGCCAGCAGCAGGACTGTGCCTGGAGGCTGACCGTGGCAGGAGAAGCAAGAGGGCTTGCAGGCTCCCGTGTTGCCACTCTATCAAGCCTCATCCCTCCTGAGCAGTCTTTCCCCAGGCAGGGACCAACCCTGGCCCAGCCCAAGACGGAAGGGTTTTGGGAATCCTGACACCTTTGGGTAGTCCTTTTGGATGCCAATTGCAACCTCAAATTTCTTAAATATTAATAAGAAGACTGATCCCAACGACCCCCTGCCAAGGCCTTGTAATGTATCTTGTGTGTCACAGCATTAGCTGCATGATCTCCCAACCATAGCCTCAAGAGTTAAGTGCTGGTATCATTTCTGTATTACAGATGTGGAAAGCGAGGCTCACAGAGGGAAGCACTTTAGCAGAGCTGGGACTACCCCAAGGCTGTCTGACACCCCAGCCTTGCTCTCACCTGCACTTGGGCCTCACCTGCCTATCAGGCCCCATTCCCATCCTCTCCGACACCAGGAACCACTGGATTCCTCTGCCCATGCCCACCTCTGCTAAGGCCCAGCTCTTGGCGTTCACCTCCTTGACCCTGCACCTGCCTCCCATGTCCCATCAAGAGCATGCCCACTTCTGAGGAGGCTTCCAGGAGAACCTGTCTAGGCAGCACCTACCTGGACACCATGGATTGAAAAGGAGAACAAACTCTCCCAGCTTCCGGTCACTGTGCCTCCTGCGAGAGGAAGCCCTGGCGCTCAGCTGGTAGCGGCCGATGACAGCATCAGGAGGGCTGGCGAGGCTGACACTCATGCTGCTCTCCGTCTGCGACTCCTTCACTGCTGTCCAGGCATCGCCCACCTCCAGCTCCGCCGTCTGGAACACAGCTTTGGTGTGGAGGGCCTCGGAAGCCTTGGGCCCTGGACGACAGGAGAGGGAGTCAGAAGACCCTGCCTCTAGGAAACCCGGCTTTGGAGAAGTGGGAAAGCTACACCTTGGAAGCCTCGACTTCACCCCTTGAGGTGCTGGGAGACTGCTGAGGAGAAGGGCTGAGCAAGCCTAAGAAGGCCAGAGTGGGATGCCTCGGCTGCCCGGACCCCCAGCCACTCCTGGGACAAGGGGAAAGTGACAGCAGCCTTAGGAACCCAAATCTACCTTATACCTGACCATGAAAGGATAGAAAAGTTTGGACTCCAAAGTGCCCACCCTCCCCCAATTTCCATATCCTTCTGGAACTCTGAATTCCTTGGCATGCATAGGATTCCAGAGAGGTCATCTCACCCACCCTGCCGTCTGCAGGCAGCACCTTCCAACTGTCCCCAGGAAGCGGTTATCAGAAGTCTACAGATTTAAGGTTCAGCTCCCTTGCAGAGACTTGCTTACCCGCCTAAACCCGGGGCGGCCCAAGGCAGGGTCTCCTTTGAGTGGTCACAGGACACAGCTATTCAACTGTAGACCAGAGGGGGCGCTGGTGAGCCCACTTACCTGTCTCCACCGTGAAGATAAGGGTCTCCTCGCTGTCCAGGTCTCCGCTCAGATCCAGGGTGAGGCGGAACGGCTGGCCCCTGCGGACCACCAGCTCAGGGCAAGGATACTCCTGGGTGTGGTGCGCAGCGCCGTTCCCCGACCGCTGCCAGTCCACGCTGGTGACTCGGACCCCTGCGGAGGCAGAGCGCAGGGAGATGAGGCCAAGGCTTCGGCACCCTCCTGTCCACGTCTGGCTTGTCTTCCCATCCTCTTCGAGCTGCCGGCCTGTGTTCATTCAGCCCCTATTTTTTGTTTATTTATATTTTAAGACAGGGTTTCACCTTGCTGCCCGGATTGGTCTCGAATTTATGGGCTCAAGTGATCCTCCGGCCTTAGCTGCCCAGGTGGTTGGGACCATAGGCGGTGCCACGCCTGACTCATCCAGCCACTGTTTATCACACACACCGTTGATTCTCGTTATTCTCGGTAGTTACATTCTATAAAGTCCCTGTGGGCACTGAATTAGTGAGTACTGAACTGTGGCTGATAGGGAAAATACAGGGTTAGGTTCCTAGGAGCTTAATCTATACCTGTGTTGTTGTTTAAAGGCACCCTAGTTAATATTCATTGTTGGGTCATTACTCTTGAACTCATTTTGCCAACAGCACTATAATTCAATGAATCTAACATTTATTTTCTCTGCAAGGAACATCATGGCCTTCTTGCACTTAGGGACACTATGGCAGCACTTCAACGCTGTGCTTGGGGCCATTTTAAATGGCAGAATTACCCACCCCCAAGAAATAAACAACAACAATCACACAAAGCACAAAAATGCAAAAAAACATGGTTTTAAATGGACCAAGAAAGGACATTCATTTGTAGAATGGAAGCTGAATCAAGAAGGCAGAGGGTTGGAGCTGTGGTTGTGGCCCAGCGGTAGAGCACTTGCCAGGCATGTGGGAGAATCTGAGTTCCCTCCTCAGCATCGCATAAAAATAAATGAGTGAAATGAAGGCATCGTGTCCAACTACAACTAAAAAATAAATATTAAAAAAAAAAGAAGAAGGCAGAGGGTTGCCTGTTTGACTTTAGCTGGAAGCATACACATTAGGCATCTCTATTTTTCACCACTTGTGGGCCAAAGTCTGGAGAGGGCTGGCCATCATGCTCATATTTTTAAAGGCTTCAGCACCTTCATATAATCCTTTTTTTTTCTTTTAATATTTTTTAGTTGTACATGGATGCTGTGTCTTTATTTTGTTTATTTACCCAGTGCCTCACACGTGGGAGTGCTCTACTGCTGAGCCACACCCCAGCCACCTCGCATAATCTTTTAATTAAGGGAGAGTGGCAGATTGTATTTTCTAAAGATGGTTGCCATTCTCCATGCCCTAATGTTACGATGTTGACATGTGTCTCACTGAGACATAGGTATAGCATCCCATCCCTCCAATCTGGAAGACTTGTGAGTAAAACAGAATGACACTCTGTACTTCCAAGGTTAGATCATAAATGTTGATACAGCTTCTTCTCGGCTCCCTTGAGTTGCCTGTTCTTGGAAAACCAAATGGCCGTGGAGACGCCCACGTGGAGAGGAACCAAGGCCTCCAGCCTCCAGTCTGCTGAGCTGCCAGCTGACCGACAGCTCTGGCTTGGCAGCCAGGAGAGTGAGCCATCTTGCAAGCAGATCCTCAGCCCCCAGTCAAGCTGCCCCAGCTGAAACCAAATGGAGCAGAGACAAGCTGTCCCTGCTGAGCTCTCCCCAAATTGCAGCTTCCTAAGCAAGAAAATGACTGTTGTTGTCTTTAGCCTCGAGATGGCATGGTTTGCCACACAGCAATGGCTAACAGAAGCACAGGGAGCCATGTCTCTTACCTAATCTGCAACAGCCTCCTAATTGGTCTCACTTGTGAGTTGGTTGGGCTGGTGCCATGGAAGGTCCACGGAAAAGACTAGTTTAAGCTTGGATTAGGCTGAAGGCGCCAGTCTGGCATTGTCATTTGGGGAGAACGACTGAACATGTGAGAAGGAACTCACGCGGGTGACATATGTGTCCCAAGCATGGGAACTCCGAAGGCCACTGCCGTGGCGAATGAACAGGCCTGCGCAGGACCAGGGTTCAATAGGGACCTTGTGTGGCAGGAGCCGGAACACAACTCCCTGCTGCCTTGGGGCTTCTCACACTGGGAAGTAGAACCTTCATGTCTGGTTGGCTCCAACAGTCCTTGGGCAGGTGCAGGCCTCTGAAGCCCCAGAACTTTGAGTTTAGGTGGCCTCTGTTAAGTCTGGAAACACAGGTAGGAACCTCCACATCTTGTACATGGGCTCATGAGGTCTACCTCAACAGAACTGGAGGAGCAGTTCAGGTTCACCCACATGGAAAATCAAATGTGCGCCAGTCACCACGGTGCACTCCTGTAATCCCAGTGACTCGGGAGGCTGAGGCAGGAGGAGTTCAAAGCCAGCTTCAGCCACTTAGCGAGGCCCTAAGCAACTTAATGAGACTCTGTCTCAAATAAAAATTAAAAAGTGCTGGTGATGTGACTCAGTTGGTAAAGTGCCTTTGGGGTTCTATTCCCAGTACAAAAACAAGAAGACAAAAAATAAGAACAAAACAAAACCCAAACAAACAAACAAACAAAAGCCACCACCAACAAAACCCCCAAAGGGGCGGGGAGGGAGTAGGAAGAAAGGGGCTTCTTTCCTGAGGGCAGTTTGGATCTGTGGCCCAGGAATTCATGTTGCTGCTTCCAATCACAGTGTCTGGATACAGGCCAGAACAGGAGGCTAGTGTCCCCTTTTACAGGATGAGTCAGGAGCCGGGGGTGAGGTTTGGGGTAGTAATTAGCTCTACTTGGCAAGCCCCCAGGCTGGATACAGGGGGGCGTTTGGGATTTGATGAGGGTTCCCGGGCCCCAGGATATGGGTTCAAGCCCTGGGGCATCTGTGTTAGATTCCTCTTTTCCTTGCCACAGCCCAAACTAGCTCCGGTCACCCTCTACACATCTGTAGCCTTATCACAGATGGGCAAGAGGGGGTGGGATGAGTCAGAACTGTCATTATGGTTATTATCCCAGAATCTCAGTGACCATCTCTCTCACAACTTCCTGCCCAACATCAAATTCCTGTAGCCAAATTCTTGGTGGTTACGTGACTGTGGTCCCAGCTTGCAACCTACAAGAGGCCCCTTAGCCAGCCCCCAAGTGTTAGAAAGTCTTTCCTTCTGCTGAACGAAGATCTTTTGACCTTACAACTCCTTGCCATTTGTCTCCACGCTGCTTCTCTGTCACCTCCGAAGAACATGCTTCTTTGAAGCTTTTGCTCTTTGATCATGTGGCAGACATAAACCTAGGGATCCAGGCTTCCCGTTCCCCACCCAGACTCTGCACCTGCCCGGTAACCCACTGTCTTGGTCCCTGTGTGATCCATCCTGGGAGCTGCTCCTTTGGTGGTCAGAGTCATCCACACCCATCAGCATCACACCCCGTGACCTGCCATTTGTGGGGTCAGCTCTGGGGTTCCAGGACTCTGCATGGGAAAAGCAACTGTTCTGGTGATTACAGTTCAATTCTGTCCTAACCAGTGTCCTCTCCAGCCCTCAAGGGAACAACGAGATTGATGGATACAGATGAGGGGATCCTACATACAGAGGCAGACCAAGGTGAGGATATAACTGTGCAGGAGATGGATTCCAAACTCAGTCAAATAAACTCGATGTCATCGCCCTATGCTCAGCTCAGATTCTGCTATGGGACTAAGGCTTCTGTCCCTAACCTAGGATCAAGGATGCCGTGGTATATTTATTTGTTTACTTGTCTCTTTCCTCCAGTGGATTGATGACACTTTAAAGTTAAGGTCTGGCTCTCATACGCTCTGGATTATCAAGGCCTGGCTCAGAGCCCAGGGTGTAGTAGATGCTCCATGAACATTATTTGGATGAACAAATGAGCGTCACTTCCTGTCCCTTGGCTGGGGAGTGACAAGGGAGCTGATGCTCACTAGCATCCTGGACCCGCCCTGGAGGACTGGCACCCACACGCCATCACCTGCCCGGACCCCACCCACCCTGTAATCCCTCTAACTCAAGCTGTCACATTCTAAAACCTGCCTTTCCTTCCTAACTTCCTGCTCTCTAAAACTCCTGGGGCTGGGAGGAGGGGTGGTGTGGCCTCTGCTGCAGGGGGCAGAGTGCTGCTGACTTCTCCCTCCAAGCCTCAGTTGGCCCATCTATGAAATGACCCAGAAGGTTGTCACTCAGCCCCTTGGTGGACACCAGGGAGGGGCTGTGAGTGGCAAGATCTGACACTCGTCTGGTTCAGTGAACCTATAGCTTGGTCCTTCACCCTGAGGACATGAGGGGTGAACTCCCAGGCCTGGGCTCCAGGCCACAAAGCTCAAGACTGAGGCTGTGCCCTTCAGACCCAGGGAAAGAAGGAGTAAGTAACAAGGGCATTTCCTCTACTACCTGTCCTTCCAGGGTTTGCACCCCCCACACCAGCTTTACTGCCCTCTTTCCCTTCTTTCTTTTACCATCTTCTCTTGGCCTTCCTTTCCACCCTGCACAGCCAGTGGGAGCCCGAGTTTAGAGGCACACACTGAGTTCTAGTACAGGCTTTCCCACTTGTCGGCTGTGTGACCTGAGGCAGGTGGATGAACCTCTCTGAAACTCAAGTCTCAAGGTCTCCTGGCTGCCATTTCAATGTTTTGCCAATGTATGCCATCCTGCATCTTCTACTTACTGCCCGAGTGGCCCTGGGTAAGTTGCTGGGCCTCTCTGAGGTTCAGATTTCTTTCCCTAAAAATGACAAGATCTTCCTCATACAATTTTTTTTAAAATACACTCTACTCTCATGTATATGTTTTTATTTTTTTAATTTTATTTATTTATTAGGTGTAGATGGACACAACGCCTTTATTTATTTTAGAGAGAGAGAATTTTAATATTTATTTTTTTAGTTTTTTGGCGGACACAACATCTTTGTATGTGGTGCTGAGGATCGAACCCGGGGCGCACGCATGCCAGGCGAGCACGCTACCGCTTGAGCCACATCCCCAGCCCCTCATACAATTTTAAGGAGGATTAAATGGAGTAATCATTATAAGTAGGGTAATGAGGAAATGCAGCGCCTGAGCCAGGAAATTCCAAGGGCGAAGGAGAAACCATTAACACACTAGACAGCGAGCTCCAATCAGGATGGTGTTCTCCTTCCAGCACTTACACGCGCTGGGTCCACGGTTTTGAGTTCCACAAATGGGGGGTTTTAGATTGTCACCTCTGTCCCCTAAATCTTCCCCATCACCCCCTCCTCCCATCCCCAGTTCCTACACACATTGTTTTTCTTTTCCTTCTCTCGACTCTGCCTCCTGCCTAAGCCATCACCTGGCCCCACAGCCTCAGAACGTTTTCCAGCTCATCTTCTTCAGTGCTGTAGGGGAACTGCGGCTCATGGAGGGGGGACCCCTCAGATTGCATGAGTGTCAGCGTGTCACTTCTCCTGCTCCGTAACTGTCAAGTCCACACACACTCTGCTGCCATGTCATAGGGGGCCTCCCAGTTTGGTCCTGGCCATGATTCCTGTCCCTGCCAACCTCATCCCTGCCCTCCGGCTCACTGGCCCACCAGGTGGCCACAGACATCAGCCTAAGTCCAGGCTTGGCTTCCAGGGAAGGGTGTGGAGAAGGTCCCCTCCTGCCTGTCACCCTCCCATGCTTGTCCCTGCTGCTCTCCCTCATGGCCTTGGGTGACACCAAAAGTCCAAATGATACTGCCATCCCCAATTCTCTGTGCCAGCCTGGGCATGGCACCCAGTGAGGCTGGGCCCAAGAAGCTCTGCTGAAGCCAGCAACATCTCCCCGACTCTGGACTCAGCATAATTGGTTTTTAATGGGCTCCATTATGACTCTGTCCTTAGTAGGCAGCCCAGGTACCTGAGCTCCACGCTCTAATGATTAATTAGGAAGTTGCCTGGGGGCCTTTTTGGGGCCACTGCCCAGTCTCCCTTTCCTTCCTGGTCCTTCCTCTTAACCAGTATATAGAAACCCATCAACTCCAACCAATGTCCTACCTAGAGCCAACCCCACACAGAACGTTTCACTTAATTCTTAAGATTGCTGAGCTGAAAGATGATTGTAATTTAATAATGTCAAAATGGCCCTATTTGTTTGCTAACATGGCTCAACTGGCAGGGGCTATGGAAGAATTGCACCGAGGAGAATTCTGGGATTACATCCCGGTTCTGTAGGGAGGAGCTCTGGGATCAACTAGTGATGTCTGCCATGGACATATTTAGTGGGGTGAGGATCCTGGTGATGGGTTTCTTTCCATCAGGATCTGGCATCACAGTTATGAATTCATGTCTGTTGCTTTGAGGAACAAATCCTCCCAGGAAGCCAGAGGGACCCAGAACCCCTGAGGAATTGAATTCAATCCAATAGAGTTCACATTCGAGGCATGATGGATCTGATCCCAACATTTTACAGATGGAGAAATCGAGGTTGAAAGAGAGGAGTGAGTACCCACCAAACGGGTACCTGACCTGACACTGGGATCCCTGCCACCAACTTTGCTCCTTCCTCAGCATAACTCGCTGCTGCCAAGCTTAAGACAGGTGCTTTATCAAATGCTTAGGGAAGAGGGGCCACATAGGGAAGCCCTGAAAATCAGGTCCTGGTAGAGGCAGAGCCAGTGTCCTCTGCACCAGTCTGACAGGAGAAGCAACCCCAGGTTTGGAAACAGGTGGTCTGGGTTGTCCTCAGGGGAGCAGACTCACCCCAGGAACCAGATGGACCCAGAGGCCCAATAATATTATTAACTGCTAGGAGGGAATATGAAAAGGAAGTTAAAATATGATAAAGAGATGAAAATACCTGACTTTGAAAGTTTATTTTCTAATAAACAAGCATTGATTCACATGGGGTCACATGATGCTGAGCAATTGAAAATACATAGAATTAGGAATATCCCTTAAACACCTGTGAGTTTGGGGCTTTTTCTGCTTACTGGCTCATTACTGGACCCCAGTATCTATGAGTTTCTGAGCCCAGGAAAGTGTGCCACTCACTCAATTAGGTCTGTGGGGACACGTTTTCTGAGGCTATTGTCGACAAGTTCTCATGTTGAGATCTTGTGTGACGGAGGACAGCACGTAGCAGGCCTGTGAGATAATTTGCATTCTGATCCCCATTTTTCAGATGAGAAAACAAAGGCAACAAGGGCAAATTCCTTTGCTCAAGGTCACACAGCTCTTTTCTCCTCAGATGGAATTGCCCTTGCCCTCCAGTCACTGAGGCAGGAATTCAGAGAAGACGCTGCTCATGGGTCCTCTTTCTCCCTCCCACACAGCTAGGCCCAGAATTGTCTCTGGATCCACAGAAAGTGCAGCGGGGGAGAGAGGATTTGAGATCTGCCCTCGCCTCTCTGCTCCTGCCTCCTCCAGTTCATCAAAGCGTGTGCAGGAGGCCTGGCCCCCACCCAGCCTCTGCATGGACTTGCTGGCTGGTCTGGGGCTGCTTCCTTCCATCCCCATGCCTCTATTTTCTGATGAACATGAGGGAAGAGCTGATGGACTGTCCAGCTCTAACATCTTAACAAGCAACCATCAAAGTTTTTATCTCACAGACACTCCTGAAACCTCCCCTCTCAGGCCCTCATGCCCCGAGGTCCCCAGGCCCTGCCCACTCACCTGCCATGCGACAGCCAGACAGACTCCTTGCCTCCTCACGGTGGTGTGTGGACCGTCAGGATGGTGCGTCAGAGTAGCCAGCCAGACCCGCATTAACAAGGAAAATCTCAGGACACTCCTAAGCAGGAAAGTCAGAATTCAAAAGAGGAGGCGTGGCCCTCCTCAGCCCAGCCACGACACCTCCAAGACACATAATCACCCAGTAATTGCCTTGGTTTGCACCCACAAGGTGTCCAGTGTGGGAGTGGATCCAGCCAAACATGGAGTGAGAGCTGGACCGAGTGAGGAGAGAGTCCCAGAAGGATCACAAGGCTGACAAGAAGCAGAACTGGGAAAGAGGGGGTGCAGGGAGACATTAGAGCTTATGGCCAGCCATCATTTATTTATTTATTTTAAAAAATTCTTTTTTTTTTTTTTTTTGGTGATTGAACTCAGGGGATTGAACTCGGGGGCACTCAACCACTGAACCACATCCCCAGCCCTATTTTGTATTTTATTTAGAGACAGGGTCTCACTGAGAGAGGCCTCTCAAGGGACATGGTTATCTGCTGCAGAGCAGGGACCAGAGCCCAGGAGACAGGGCACCCAGTCCAGGGCTACGAGAGAAGATTCCTGGGACCACAGCTCTCTTCTGTAGGCATCCACAGAGGCCCAGGCCCAGGACCTCTTGCAGGGACACACCCCCAGCACCCACACCCTCCCCACACACCTGCACACACGCACGGACAGGCTCGGCCTCCACCAAGAAGCCCTGAGCTCTGGAGGAGTGACTTTGGACTTCGGCCGCCTGGGTGTGCGGCCCACATCCTTAATAAACTGAAGGTAGCATCTCCCCTTCCTGGAACAACAAGGGGATGATTAAGACAACTCGTGGACAGAGCCTAGATGCTCAGGGAGCCTGACTCACCTGTCCCTCCCCTGGAGGACAGCACCCACTCTCGCCATCACTCATGATTTGGGAGTTGGACCAGTCCTTAGAGTGCGCCCACACCCCTGTGAGAGGTGCAAACAATCCCACCCGGGACCTCCGGGCTTTCATGTGGGAAGATGATGATGTCACGCTGATTTGCCTCTGCTTACGGCACCTCCACCCTGGAGACTGGGAGAAGACCCTTACCCGATCCCCCAGTGTAAACACCTGGACCCATATCTGGTGTCATATGGATGTGCCACAAATTCTTCTGCCCTTTGGACATTGTTCAGGGCTTCCTTATCACAGCCCACCTGCCAGGGTGACCTGGACTCTTGGAGGACATAAATAAGAAGCTCTTGATTCACAGTCTGTCCTGATTCTAGGAACTGGCTCCAGCATGGACTGTGGAGATCTGGAAGCCATGGGTGTCCCCTGACCTTGGGCAAGCCCTCTCCCATCCCAAACTTTGGAATAGCCTGCTTAAACCTGAGGGATGTGATTTAGAGGCATTCTAGCTCAAAGCCTAAGATCCTGGTCTCAGAGACTGTGGCATTTACGGCCTCTAAAAGACTCCAGAGTAATTAAATGGAGGGACTTTTATTTTCAGGGAAGCTGGTTGGGAAGTCCTCTTTGTTGGGGAAATGCTTTGATGGATGGCTTGGGGCGGTCATTGGCAGGGTGTGAGCTGAGCCAAGAGGAGAGGGAACAGGGAGGGGTGGAATCTGTGAGGAACCAGGAAGGGGCGAGCAGACAGCTCTGTGCCAGGGCTATCACCCAAACACTCAGGAAAGTGTATAAAAACCCAAAAGTGTTTGATGTGGTTGGATTTCTTATAGAAAGTGGCGAAGAGGTTGAGTTCTGCTTGATGCAAAGCAAACATATTTAATGGACTCTTTGCAGGCCCACATTGCCTTATAATTACTGTCATCTGGCACCAGCCCAGGGAAGCTCCTTCCCTCATGCCCCGCAGCCGGCTGCCTCAGTGGCTGGCCAGACCCCTGGGCCCAACAAAGCTGCTTTTCTGCCTACGCAGGATCAGGCTCCTCCCCACTAATGACAGTCTTGTGTAGGGTCCTCCTTTTATGTTTCATCTTGGGTTTGCCTGGACAGGGTCTCCCAGAAGACAGGGCATTCCAAATCGGTGCCCTTCTCAACCCTAAATGACAGTTCATATTCAGATTTAGGGGAGAGAAGAGTTGCTGGGCAGTAGAGCCCTAGGCTCTTTAATCTCCTGCCCAAATTGGCTGTGTGACCCTTGGTAGGTCACTTTACTTTCTCTGAGCCTTGGTTCTCTCATCAATGAGATAAGGCCTGGGCTACTTTTTAAGGGTTCCAACATTCTCTGATTCTAAATGATCAGGCTAGAGATGGCAGACAGGAGCCAGAGACAGAGGCAGCTCCGATACCCCAATGTAAACACCTGGACCCATACCTGGTGTCATATGGGTGCGCCACAAATTCAAATCTGTGCCCATGGAGCAATCAGATGCTTTGGAAGCAGTTTAATTGTTCCTCTGTCTATAAAGATAATACCTACTCACATAGAAACTCAAGGAATACAGAGAAGGAATAAAGGCACAAGCATATAAATACATTTATGAAAATTGAATTGTGCGTGGAAGCTGTTTTGTAATCTGCCCTATCTGCTTAATGGCATATCAGGCTCCCTTTTCAGATTGCAGCGTGTCAATGTGCGCTGGCCACCACTCGTGTCATCTCCTGGGAATTCACACGCTTCAGCCCACTCCCCATGAATCAGTGGGAACTTAGGTCCCTTCTTGTTTTCTGTCCTTATAAAGAAGTACAATATCTTTGTGCCTGTATCTTGGTATTTCTTTAATGGAACAATTTCTAAGAGGTAAAATTATTGAGGTGAATCTATTCTTCACAGCAGCTGTTTCACATGTAGGAATTTATCTGATGGATGGGTCCACACTTGTGTCTGTAGACAGAGGTGCAAGGGCATTTATGACAACCTTGATTGCATCAAAGATGCAACCATGTATGTCTCCATCAATGGGTTAATTTCAAAATATCCATGCAATAAAATAACAATGTGGCCGTTCAGAAATAGGAGATGGATTGATACAGGGTGGGCAAGTTTCTTAGATGCATTGCTAAGTTAAAAACAAAAGTAAGGTTAAAGAAGGAATTGGGGGAGGAGGAGGAGGGATAGAAGCCAGGAGTGGGGGAGAAGCTTGGTTTCTGAGCTCTTAGAAATATTTTTCTGCATAGGCAGAAAAGCATGTAGGCATGCACTGTCTCTCCAAAAAAATCATTTAAAAGAATAACAACACTGTGGTGTAGTTTGCTAGGCTTCCCTCTATATACACACATATTTTCAAAGTACCATTTTTCTTGCAGTATCTCTGGCCCTGAATGCTTTGTGGCTTCTCATTGCAAGGCCAAGTTCAAAGCCTTTACTACAGGCTTCAATGCTCTTTGTAACACAATCTTGACTTTTTTTTTTATATATATTGTTTAGTTGTCATTGGGTTCATATGCAGTGCTGGGAACCGAACCCAGTGCCTCACACATGCTAGGCAAGTGCTCTACCACTGCGCCCCAGCCCCAGCCCACAATCTTGGCTTTTTCCAAGGCCTCTTGTTTCTCTGTCTGAACACGCTGCCTCACATGGGCTCAGCAGCATCTCCTGGCTCCCACCAACCTCCCTTGGCATGAAGATGCTGACCAAACTGCCATCCAGCTTGCTCCCCTCTGGGAGGCCTGGCCTGGCCACCCCAGCCTCCGGGGTCTTGCCTGTGTGGACCTCCCTCTGTAATGACCGTGTCCTTCCACTTCAGACTCCTTGACTGAAGATGTGGCGAGGGCTTCCGACCTCTTGATCCCACCCAGTCCTCAGCAAGGAAGTCATACTAGAGCTCCATGACCTTTTGGGGAAAGTGGAAAGAGAGAGGGGGCCTTCCATGGATAGTGGAGGATGGAACAGGGGCCTTCTCCAGGGAGCAAGGCAGCAGAGGCCCATTTGGACTGTGCCCTGACACAGTGAGGGCTTCTTTTTTTAATTTTTTTTTCATTTCTTCTTTTTAGTTACACATGACAGTAGAATGTATTTTGACATATTATACATACGTGGAGTGTAACTTCCGATTCTTGTGGTGGTACGTGCTGTGGAGTTACTCTGGTTGTGCATTCGTATATGAACATAGGAAAGTAATATTTGATTCATTCTCTCTTTCCTGTTCCCATCCTCCTTCCCTTCCCTCCATTCCCCTTTGTCTAATCCAAAGTACTTCTATCCCCTCGCCCCACCTTATTGTGTGTTACCATCAGAGAGAATGTTTGGCCTTTGGTTTTCTGGGATTGGCTTATTTCACTTAGCATGATAGTCTCCAGATCCATCCATTTCCCGGCAAAAATCATTCATTTTTATAGCTGAGTAATATTCCATTGTATGTATAAATCACATTTTATTTATCCATTCATTTGTTGAAGGGCACCTAGGTTGGTTCCGTAGCCTAGCTGTTGTGAATTGAGCTGCTACAAACATTGATGTGGCTGTGAGTGAGGGCTTCTTCACATGCTTAAGACATCAGCAAACTGTAGGCATCAAAACAAATTTTTTTAAAAAATCAGAGTAATCATCTTGGGAAAAATAAGAATTTTGTTGAGTTTACTGAATTTCCATGTCACCATTGTTTTAGTTATATGCATTGGTAGGGCCCTTTGATATTTCCAGGGCTCAGGACCTCCATCTAGCACTGCCTTGAGGTGCTCAGATAGCTGTGAATCTAAGTGTGTGGTCCTTGAACCAGCAGCAGAGGCATCACTGAGAGGCTGGAGAGAAACACAGACTCTTAGCCTTACTTCAGACTCCCTGCTCTAGTTTGGATCTTAAATGTCTTAAAAGGCTCATGAGTTAAAGGCTTGGTGCTCATCTTGGTATTGGGAGGTGGTGGGAACTTGAAGGGGTAAGGCCTGGTGGAAGGTCTTCAGGATACATGGGGCATGCCCTTGGATGGGATACTGAGACTTGGCTCTAACCTCTTCCTCTCCGTTAATAACATCTTGGTCATGAGGTAAGTGGTTTTCTTTCCCTCATGCTCCTGTTGTGAGGTGCTGCCTCACCACATGCCTAAAGCAACAGAGCTAATCTATCATGGAATGAAATCTCCAAAATGGTAAGCCAAACAACATTTTTTTCTCTTGACAAACAGATTACCTTGGGAATTTGTTATAGTAACAGAAAACTGTCTAAC